TCTGGGATATTTGTTACCATACTCGGTCAGAGAACAATAGAAAATGAACATAATCCAGGCGAATTCGGGTTCAAAAGTACAAATTCACTACACGAGGAAACAAAAGCAGCCTAGAAAAAGACGATGCCTACTCATTCATACACCGAAACTAACCGGACATAATCTATATGCCAGCATTGAAAATTGGATCAATGTTTTACAAATTGACATCCATCTTTAAATGTTAAGGATAAACCAATAAGGCAAGTGTGGAAGCAGGAGTTCTAAAAGATTTCTAAACTAGTGAGAAGCTAAACCCCAAACATTGCCTTCAAGGAACCAACCAAGGAAAGAACAGTAAGATCTTGGGAAAAAATTTGCTTTCTAGTATGAAATCAGTGAAACAGATGATTAGGGATTAGTACCTGATTATTACACTCTTCAACAAACCAACCTTCTGCAGAAATTCAAACGAAACAAGTTTAACAAAACAAAGTACAAGCAAGATCATATTAGCATTTGAAACAAAAGAAAGAAGGGCACCGTCTAGAATGGCGGAGAGTAGATCAGACTGCTGAGCAATAGAGAGAAAGTTTCTACATAGCCATAAACCATTAATCTCCTTCACTTGCTCCCATGCCGTCGAATCTCCGGTCCCTAGGCTTTCTTTTTCCTGTCGATCTGCGCCGATATCTTCACCATCTGACGAGTCTCCAAAAGCGGCCTTCAAATGCGCTGCTTCATCGTCCATTACTTTGCTTCTTCTCTCTTTCCTTGCCTAGCTATAGATATGAAATCACAACCCAAAAACAAAAGAGTAAAACCTCCCCCTTATACAAAAGTCCAAGTCTTTGATAATAATAAATTAATCAAAGATATCGGAATTTGTTGATGGTATCATTGATACACAATATAATCCTCAATAGAACAAGAAATCAACGTTTTGCACAAAATCCATCACTAATCATCGCTATGTTGTAGACTAATGCAAAACACACAACCATCACCATGTCCAATCACTTTGAACCATCTCTACCATTCTAGACAACCTCTAATCCTTGAAAAAGGTTCAAAATTACGAGCTGGGTCTTGATAAGTATACCATGGCGACTTCAAGTTTCTTTTCCCAGGGAAAACAAATTCAGATTAATACCAAGTATTCTAAGAGCATTACCCAGATGGAGAAAGTTGCTCACAGAACCAAAAAAAAAATTGAAATCGAGAAACCAAACGGGAGGAAAAAAAAAAAAGCTTACAGGAAACACATGCTGACTATAGAGGGAAGATCAAAGAGACGAATCGGTGGTGATCGGTTTCCCGGCGAGTGAGAGACTGGAATCTGTCGTCGAAACGATGACCGTGATAGACTCAGATTTTTGGGCTTCAACAGTGTGTATGTATTATTGGGCATTTCGGGTTTCTTAAAAATAAAATAAACTTTTTTTCTTTCTCTGTTGCATCTCAAATCCTCTTCCTAGGAAAAAAAAATAGATTTATTAAATTTGTTTATTTGACTCAAAAAAATGATATAGCATACTTTAATTTGACTAATTAATTAAATAAAACTATTTTAACAAATTGGA